AGGGCAGCCCCGCTCGGAGCATTGCAAGTGTCAAGCGCTGTATATTGGCCCAAGTATTCATATAAAATAACTCATATGTGTCAACTCTTTAGGTCACAAAGTCCGCGGTGTGCCTTTAAAGTAATTATAGTGATATTTATTTATAGAGCGCATTTCACAGCCCAAAGTCACACACAGCACTTTTTACAATGTTTTTTTGGAGTATAGATAATTTTCCATTCCCTCCTCATGGTGAAGACCTGTTCACTAAATTAGACGGAATATAGAAGGTTTTCATCACAATGTGTCTCCTTTTTGTATTTTGTTATGTTTTCATGTTTTAACTATACATTTAAATTCACATTATATCAAAGAAATGAATATAAATAGATGAGAAATATATATCATTTTGGATAACAAACCAATTAATCAAATATAGATGCGTCAATAGTGTATTTTTGTTCAAACACGGCAGAGCGTTAGAAAAGTCGCCAGAAGTCTTTCATATTTTACTGAATCTTATTCCGGGCTTCGACCATATGTTCACAAAGGAATTCCTATAATGTATGTATGAATGTGTTCTTGTATGTATGTTTGTATCATATAAATACTGTAAATTACAATATTTGATTCCTGTTTGTAAGCTTGAAATAAAGAAATTAATGGGAATGAACTGTGTTGGTTTGAAAAGCATATCCTATAGAATGAAAAATCCTAATCGTGTCAATAGTGTGGGTGTTATATGTAGCAGAAGCAAATCAAACTCCTTCGTCTCACCTACATTTACCATGTGACACGTTTGCAGCCAATATCTCTGTGTGTATTTTGAAATGATATTCTGATCAGTAAAAACATTTCAATCCTTGTAAACTGCAATGTATTGAGACAGAAGGTCTGGCATCCAGGCACTGCCATAACCCAGGTTTTTTTTACCAGGACATTTTCACATTCAGACAACTAAAATCAAACGTAATCAGAATCTAACGAGGAAATGTGTTAAAAATACAGCTGGTGTGACAGGTGCGGACAGCTTTGATAAACCCAGCTTTCTACCAAGGTCTGATGAAGCCGTGTCCAGAGGCTCCGGTCTGACGTGTGAACTGTGTGGACATTGTTACCGCCCTCCCCCCTCTCCCCCCTCTCTCTCTCTCTCTCTCTCTCTCTCCCCCCCTCTGTGTGTGGAGGGCCAGGCTCCATGTGACAGCGATGCACTCTCACATGACATACTGTCTTCATATGGCCCCAGGTAACCGAGGCACAACCACAACCTTTCATGCGTTCGCCGCTCACTCGCCGATACACTTAAAGACTACGACTGAATCAGAGCGCGGCAATGAAAGACACACAAAAACACGCCACGGGATTATATTATATTATTACATCACCCGTGGGTTTTGTGACACGTGGCTGGGTTATCTGATCTCTTTTAAGCTCATCTCCGGCACCTTATTCACTGGTTGTTGTTTTAAGTGTTTCAAAGTGAAACTGAAGGAATTTAGCATTTTGAGTTTTGAGAAAAAGTCACTGATATTTAGTTTGTGTAATTCTGTATCTCACATTTAAAGCAGATTTTTTATAAATGTAAGCCAAGCTGTTTATCTTGAGAACCACAAATGATTTCTTTAACCATATCATGTTGGTTAGACGTGAGTAGGGCAGGACAAAGCACGTTTATTAGTATAGCACAGTTGATACACAAAGAAACGCAAAGTGCCTAATAAAACAAGATAGAAACAATCAAACAAGCCATTAATTATCGCAGAACATTAAGAAGAGTGAAGATAAAATCCCTGTTGTATGCAGCTAAACGGAGCTGTTTTAACTTGGATTTGACCATTGGCAGTGTAGAAGCCTGTCTCACATTTTCAGGAAGACTGTTCCTCAAAGTCCCAGCAGGAGGCCAGTCCCAGTGCTCCTCAGAGTCCCAGTAGGGGGTCAGTCCCTGTGCTCCTCAAAGTCCGAGTTGGGTCATATGGCACTAACATGAATACACATCGAACAACTATTTTAACACTTTGATAAATAGATATAGTATAGTATATTGAAAAAACCTATTGTTCAACACTTTGAGTTGCCTTGTGTAGGAATGGTGCAGAACTGAACACACTGGACCCTGGTGCAGGATGAGACTGGACTCAAGACCCTGACCACTTACCTACACAATGTCACCGTCTGCTATACATACGCTGACCACAAAATCATACTCCGCCGTCAACATTTAAAGAACCCCAGACTATGGAGGAATATGGAGAAATTCACAACCGTAAAAAATATCTTAAAAGATGCTGAAAACTCACACTCTCGCAACGCCACCATCTTGTCGGGTGCTGTTCTTTAAACTATCCAGGCCTCATTGTGCGCCAGGGAATATTAGTAAATGTATAGTTTTCAGGAGCATGGTAGAAACGCATGGGCAGAGGGGGCACAGGGCAGACACTCCTGACTCACCTTAAGTGTCAATCAATAATGAAGTGTGCTGCTGAATAAAGATAACATGATGCTTCTTCCTCTTCTCTCGCTTTCTCTTTTAGCTTTTTGATGACTCAGAGGAGGCCAGTAAAAAATGACAACTCTCCCTCGGGTCTAAACTAAACCCCCTCAGGTTACCACGTTAAACATGCGTCAACATTGGGCAGAACAGTCTTGAAGCTCAGGAAGTGTGCGGACGGGAAGAGCCCAGACATTAGTGAGTGATGCGAGTGAGCGGAGGATCCAACGTAGCAGCTCATTTGTGAAAAGATGAATCCTGCAGTTTGTAGAGATTTGGGGTCGCTGTGTCACGGAGAGGATCCCTCTCCCAACATGATCCTTATGCAAGACTCACATGGAAAATATTCTATATCATCAAAATAATAACACACTATTTGTATTGATGTTGCTCAGGCAGTTATTTTTTTTATATATCACATTATCTAAATGTGATATATATTAAAGTAAACATAAAGTACAGTAGAAGAATGCAGAGTACCATCACCACAAGGTTCAGTATAATTTAGTATTTGGGTGCTGAGTATATTTGCATGCCTCCTATTAATATACTACTGTTAATATTGGAGTTCTGAAAGCAGAAAGCGCTTTGAACGACGTGGGACTTGGTCTTGTCTCTACAACGGCACTCGTGGAGCTTCCATCTTGTCTTTAGCTCCAGTGATGAGCATGTTGCCATGCTCTGCTCTTCCTCATCATGTGATCTGTGCTGAAATTCCACAGCGCTCCTGAAGCCCCGCGCACATGGCGGCCTTTCCAACAGATGTTTTTGGTTTGTGCTGCAGAGGCACGGGGCCAGAGAGGTGATTCATGATGCAGGCCTTTCCCTTGTTACAGTCAGCAGACACAATGTGAGCATTGGCCTTCTGCATAAACACTGCCCTGGTGCTGTTTGGGGGAAACTCAAACATTCAATCAAATATTGATAAAAGCCTAGAACACGAAAAGTTTTTTTCCATGGAAGACGTAGAAGATCTCTGTCCATAAGAAAAGCAATCAACGTCAAAGTTGGATCCTTTCTACAATCCTGGTTGTACTCCAATCACAGCAATGCAAGCAAATATCCATATCTTCAGCAATACTGCAGATGAAGCCAAATGACTCAATCATTACACTTTGTTATCAGCCACTACTGTCCCTGGAGCAAGCCCAAAACATCAAACCTTTTTTACGACAACTTTATAGATGCCTGAAACCACTATTGTAACAAACAACGTCTTTAGAAAAGGCACACACACTGGTCCATTTAACATCTGAGACATCAATGAAGCCGTGTCCATTCGAGTCACAGAGCACCTTTAACTCCACACCACAGCCACCGCCTGATCCCAGATTAGCCGTCTGCTTCACTGTTTACACATTAAGCCCGAGAGTGATTCCAAAGTGAAGACTATTCTGTTGCCATGCGAGTATTCTAACGGAGGAAACCCAGTCAGGTTTTGGCTTTAGCGGGTCTGCAGTGAAGGTGTGCGCTTCCCTGGTTTGGACGGATGCTTCATTTAATCACAGGGCTCAGAGGGTGGGGGCAGGGCCGGCACACGCTCATGGACCCCCACCTGCCTGACCTGATTACAACCAGGGCTGTATGATCAAAGGTGACACTTTATCACTGACCACAGCCAAACGGATCTAGAGTGGGTCGACAACACCGGGCCGATGTTCTTCCCAAAGTGAGGAAGCCGGGGGTAGTGTTGATGTCACACTGCATGGGCCTGGCAGCAGCACACCACTCAGAGCAGTTATGTAATATAGAACCGAAAGCTGCAGGCACATCCTCCTATTCCCCTGGACCACTCAAACCACCCCCTCCTTCCATTACTCTGCTGGATGAGGCGAGAAACAGCAGCAGATTTTCCAAAAAAGACACACAAGAGTCCAGGGATCCCAAAGTGCATTGGGTTTTTACATGGTCTGGTGGAAAGAGAGGACTGCCTTTATGGTCCAGGCTGGCATTCTAACACGACGTGCAAATGGTAAATAACAGCAACAGGTGCAAATGTGGGTCATTTAGGAGGACACCTATGCAGCAAGGAAATTATTGCTGTTTGTAATCCAGTTATGATAGCTGTATTTTAATATTTGAGCTAACCGTTTGGTCCTCACTGTGGGACAAATAAAGGATCTCTTAATCTTAATTTTGATAATTTGTCAAAAATACGTATTCCTCCAGCATCTTCAACCTGTTTTGTTATTGGCAGTACATTTGAAAGGATTTGCTCAAGAAGGGATGAAACTATATGTATGGCACTAAAAATGCAAATTCTAAGCCATTCAAATACTGTTTCTAATGGACCTTATCTGTTCATTGCAATTAATTTGAAAAAGAGGCAGTTTTTTACATGCAAAAAGGAGGGCATTTTCCAGAACTCCAGGATACTGTTTTTTTTTCTTGATTGGTATTGCAGGCTTTTGTTGTGTACTGTTTACTACACCGTTATCACAGTGCAAACCCTACTGTAACCGAATCAAATGACAGTAGATGTGCATTGATGAGTGAATGACACGTCCAGGATCAGGTCAGAGCAGGGCCTTACCTCTTCCAGCACATTCACGCTGTTCCTGCAGCTCTGCATGCGGGTGGTGAAGCTGGATGTGGTCGGGGAATTGTAATCCTCTGTTGTCTCCGAGAGAAACTCCGACACCGATATTTGGTCCGGCATCGTGAGAGAGAGAGAGGGGCTCAGGGGGAGAGGCTAAACCATGTACGACTGGGAGAGAGGGATCGAAGCCTGGAATGGGGGGGGGGGGGGGGGGGGGCGACAAGGACAAGACAGATTTTCGTGCAAAAGTGGGAAAAAACTGGAGATGATCAAGACGTGCCTTGCGCTGCGATGACTTCTCAAATGACTTCACTGTTCCCCTGGGGCCAGAAGAGGAGGGTATTAAGCAAGTATCCTCAGGCTGTGTTCCCTCGACAAGGCTTTTCCCCGGGTCTAATGTATAAATAGTGTCACTCACTCAGCGGCGGCGGTGGACTAAAGCTCGGAGGAAAAGGCAGCAGAGAGAATAGCGGATGCCCTCATTATGCACTACAGATGTTGAATGCGCGGCTTGGCGTCAAAACTGCGCGTAAAGAGCAGCTCCGTGAGGGGATAGTGCACAGTCCATGGTCCGCGGAGGTCGTGAGGCTCGGCAGCGGGGGTCGGTCCGTCCTTCCTCGGCCCTAATTCGGTGTTTTTTAACGCGAACACACCGCTGCGGACTCGAGCTGCAGCTGCACTCTCTCCGATTCGCACTGACTCTTCTCCCTGCGCCTCTCTCTGGCTACAGCAGGGACAGGGCACTTCCGGTCCTTCAAAATAAAAGCACAGACTGCGTTATACTGCAATGCCATAGTCTGTATCTTTCCCTCGAGGGGTTTGTGTTTATATTTCCATGTTATGCAATAGTGTGTTCGTCAATATCTGGCCATAATATTGTATAGTGGTTAAAAAGTGTATGGCAAAGATGACTTTTGCCTGACAACAACAATTTTGAAAGGGCCCCTGTGACTTGTGTGTAGTTTCTGTGCACTTTACGTCCCACGTCAGTCGATTAGAGATAAGAACAGCCGTAGATCCGTGAGTGAAACCGGTGAAGACAAGTCGCTTCCGCCACTAAATAAACAATAAAGGCCTCGCAGGAAACATGGCAATAAAAGACACTGTTCACAATGTATTATAAAAATGTTCTATACATGAATCTTGTTGTAGATTGTGGGGATGAGGTTAGTTAATTAGATGTGAAAATATGACTATCCATCCATTCGATTCCGCTTTATCCGTTGCCGGGTCGCAGGGGGTCCCAGAGTAGACTTCCTTCTCCGCACAGTTCCTCCAGCTCATCCGGAGTCCTGAAGTGTTCGCAGGCCAGCTGAGAGACACAGTGCCCTGGTCTACTCCAGGTGGGATATGTCCCAGAGAGGTGTCCAGGAGGCATCCCAAACAGATACCTGAGCTACCACAACTCGCTACTCTTTTTGTGGAGAAGAAGCTCTACTCCGAGCTCCTCCCATGTAACCTCACCCTATCTCTGGGAGCCAAGCCACTCTGCAGAGGAAAGTCATGTGGACCGCTTCTGTGATCTTAAGGCGCGTTCAGACCAAAAGCTTCAAAAAGCTTTTGACGCGCTTCAACTGACGCCGGGATAGTTTTGTCATTTTGGTGCTTGAAGCTTTTGACGCGAGTGACGCGCCTGACGCCGGTGGGAGGAGCTTCTCTGTTGTCTGTGGGAGGATCTTCTCTGTTGTCTGTAGTCAGGACAGCGGTGGATTTTTCAATGAGCAGCGAGCCTTTATTTGTTATATAAAGCAAAATAACGTTGTTGTAGGGCTTCAACAAAACATGTTCTGGGTTCACCACAGACTTGAGAGGCTGCAGTGTTTGCAGAGTTCCGTCATTTACTCCAGGAGCTGCGTACGGAGGAGTTTCGCTTTCAGCGGTACTTCCGCATGTCACTTGCCCAGTCTGAGTTCTCAAACCCCGGCTCTCGCCTCTCCCTGCCTCTCCCCGCCTCTCCCTGCCTCTCCTCGGTTCTCGCTCACCTCTCCCTGCCTCTCCCTGCCTCTCCCCGGCTCTCGCCCGCCTCTCCCTGCCTCTCCTGCCTCTCCCCGGCTCTCGCCCGCCCGGAGCTGCCTTGCTCTGAGCCAGACTCATTGTCAGCCTGTTCTTATTTTAAATAAACTACGTTTACTACACAGCATGTGTACAATGATTTTGTTACTCAGAACGTTACTACTCATACAAATAATATTACTAATAACAATAATGACAATAAAACAGCAGCAGCAGATACATGACTTCTCTTCATGACAGAGACAGACCCTCTGCTGCTGCTGCTCCTCGTCTCCTGATTGGTTGAAGCCCGCGTCAAAGCTTCAAAAGCTCAGCTTTGCTCAGCTTCGGCGTCAGAGGGATTGTTGTGATACGCGAGCGTTTCGCGCGTCAAAAGCTTCAAGTGAGCGCGTATTACGCGCGACTCTTGAAGCTTTTGACGCGCGTCAAGTGACGCCGGGGCTCTCGGCTTCACCTGACGCGCTTCACCATTCACTTTCAATGGAAACCTGACGCTTTTGACGCCGAAGTTAAGTCCGGTGTGAACGCCCCTTTATTCTTTCAGTCATTACCAAAAACTCATGACCAAAGGTGAGGGTGGGAACTCTCGGGTCATAAATTAAACCAGTTATATTTATATTTAGATTTTGTATTTGTTGAATTGGCATTGTATTCATAGACAGTTTATTATAGTCACGAAGAACCTATTTTAGGAACCTTAACAGTAGGGTTTTTTTCTACCATAAAGATGAGTCCCCCATCACATAGATCTATTAAAAAATCATAACCGTTCGGAAACATTATTTGAATGATAAATCTGAACAAAGGACGCCCTCTAGTGGCATACAGGCCTCATAATTGTTAATGTTTTGCTTTATTTTTAGTGTTTCATCATCTTTTATGGCGCATTTTTTGTCATCTATATTAAATTAGTTAACACACACAAAAAAATGTCTATACATTTTAGGTAACACGATTTTGGGATGATTTTGACTTAAAATTATAGACTGTAAATATGACACAATTCGTTCTGGTATTATTCTTGTTTTGCTGTTTTAAAAAATAATAACACATTAACAAAAAAATGCTGTGTAATATGTGTATGTACATTGTTAATTTGTATAATTAAACTCGGACCATCACGAAACTGTAACCCATTGACAACATATGACGTTTTATTGTGAAAATAACACAGGAAGCTACATTGCTAACTTCCTGTCTTAGCTCTTAGCACTTCTGCCCAAACTCTGACAGGACAGCGCTGTGTTCGGGGTTTTTTAGGCTAGTACAGCTGTCAGAATAGAGTTATTATTCAACAAAAAGAAGAACGAGTCTGAAACCAAAAGCGATCCTCTCTCACGAAGACCGACTGTCAACTTTGAGGAATCCCGGAGCGAGTGAATGGCCGAGGGCTCAGGCAAGTGCAGAGCCAGCCTGAAAAACATCACTAATATCAACAATCTTCCAAAAGTTATGTTGTGTATTACTTAAGGACTGACCCACTCTATAGTGTGTGTACCTATAAACAGCTGCTAGCCACGCTGTTAGTTAGCTAGCTGTTATTTATTACAGTTAGAATAGTGTTAGCAAACTTTGAACCCTCACGTAGCTCAGCTGAGGTTTGCAGTTTCGTTTTTATTCATAACAATAACGGATGTAACAGCTTTGTATTCTGCTGAAATCACTATAGCTGGGAACAGAGAATGTGTGATGGTGAGAGTGGCCAGATTTTCTGAAGTACAAATTGAATTACAGCCTGGTTTGGGGCAAGCTGATTTTTTTTGGTGGACATGTGCAGAGTCTATTCATTCAATAACATTACATCCCCAGAGCAGTCAATTTGACGGGTTTCAGTTTTGGAATCGCAATAACTCAGCTCGTGTACATTTGTGGTCCTCCTTTGCCACTTTCTCATTTTTCTGCATCTATGTAGTTTACTCATATGTAATTATTTGTAAGAAATTACCTTTTTTTTTTTTTGGTCTGGTCCTGGACTGGTCCTTGACTGGTCCTGGTTCTGATCAAGTGCTCGTTCCCATAGTAACACATTGTTCATCTGCTAGCAGTTAGCATTTCAACAAACAGTTTGATGCCTTATCTACATCTGGGACAAGTTGCTGGACACACACAAAAAATCTGTCCCTTGTGATGTCATTTTTATTTTATCTTTTTCTCATGTCAGCCTAAAATAAATGTATTCACTCACTCTTCTCTTTGCAGACCCATTTGACGTCAATCTACATGGAGCATCACACCCCAAACAACATCAACAAAATCCAAGAAGGGGGGGGCCCAGACATCACAACAACAGAGGCTTGAATCAGGATGACTATGCACCTTCGCCACTACATGAACACTCCCACCAGGGCTCCAATCAACCCTACAGACAAAACAACTCCTCTCACTATGGAGAGCGACACTATCCTGCATTTACCCTGGAAGACGGTGGCAGACACAGGGGCAGGGGGCGAGGTCGGCGAGATGGGAATTGGCAAAGACCAGAGGGTGATTCTGGCTTTCGCGGCTCCAGACCTGCGGGATATTCGTCCAATGGATCTGAAGAATTGAGTTGGAGAGTAGACGATGGAGGAGGATCTAGGGTTACTAATGAGAACCAACATTTCTATGCCAAACGTCCAAGAAAATACAACCAGGATCAAAGAAGAGGAGAATCCTATGTCGAGCGCTCCACCTTGAACGTCAAAGCACCGGAGTACACTCCCAGAGATGCCCCTTTACCAGGCCCTTTACCAGGCCAGGGAAGCTCACGCAAGGCTAAAGCTGAGCCTCTCGGTCCTTACGACCAACTCTCGAAAACTGCAGAGACAAAGCGCAGGACGGGACCAATCAAACCCCCCAAAGCAGCGGCTCGCGAGGAAGCAGGCTCAGAGAAAGGCGCTGTGAGCCACGATGACCGTGAATCGAGCAGAGTGTCTCAGAAGCCCTCACATAAAGGAGGAAGAGACATGGAGAGGCAATTGGCTCCTCACAGCAGAGGTCAGAGAAGGCCCCAGAACCAGAACCCCAGGTCTGGGCCCAAGAGCAGAGACATGGTGCCAGAGAGCAACGAAACCCAGACAGGTGAGAAAAATTGGCACACACAAAATAGTGTTAGTTTATCTGGTTGTTGTGGCAGATACTGAAAGCCGAGTATTAGCATCAATATTGGAATAGAGAATGATATCTAGTCGAAACATTAACATTCAAAAGCAGACCTAACTTTCAAATCTAAATAAAATCCGTCTCACTCGTTCCTCGCTCTCACTAGTTTTCACATGCAGGTATTTTTGGCCTGTCTCTGTCTGTCTCACGTTATTAGATCCACTTTTTCAGATAAAAAAGTGAAGAAGAGAAGACCACTTTCACTCAACCAATCAGCTCTCGGCCCAAAGCGTCAAATAGTGACTCACAGGGCTCTTTCTTACATGTCTAATGAGATGTATGACGTGTATTATTATTGACACAAACCATGTTGGTACCCCAGACTTAACTAATATCATATAATGTAATTGATAGTTTCTCTGATTTGTCTGTTATGGTCTGGTGTGTCTATATTTTCAGGTTGTTTGATTGAACAGCTGTCCGGGGAGAAGTATGAGTGCATGGTGTGTTGTGACATCATAAGGGTCATGGCTCCAGTGTGGAGCTGTCAGAGCTGCTATCACGTCTTCCATTTGAACTGCATCAAGAAATGGGCCCGATCCCCAGCATCTCAGGCCGATGGTATGTCTACGTTTAAATGTAATGTCTACTGTGGTGTAAAGCATGTGAACCCATGTCCTAAGACAAATAAGGAGGGTTAATTTAGTCACTTTTAATCCCTCAGATTCAGCTGAAGGTTGGCGCTGTCCGGCCTGTCAGAATGTGACACTAAAAAGTCCCTCTGCGTACACTTGCTTCTGTGGTATGTTTTGTCAGAGTCTGACTATATCGTCAGTGTCATGTCAAAAATATTCACGATTACTATTATTTTCTAACTATTTTCCAGGTAAAGTGACAAATCCAGAGTGGCAGCGCAGTGAGATTCCACACAGCTGCGGTGACATGTGTGGGAAGAAGAGGAGTGGAGAGGACTGCAGACACCCCTGTAACATGTGTGTGGTGCAGAGGCTTTCCCTGTCAAATAAATACTATACTATAACAAACAACCAACCGTGTATACAACATGCAGTAACATATATGTATTTGTGACATTGCTGTCTATTTGTTTCTCTTCTCAGTCTGTGTCATCCAGGACCTTGCCCCCAGTGTCCTGCTTTTATAACTAAATCATGCGTCTGTGGAAAGACCAGGTATTTGAAGTATTCTTGAGTATGATTTAAAAACTAGGGCTGTCAAACGATTAATTTTTTTAATCGAGTTATTTACAGCTTAAAAATTAATTAATCGTAATTAATCGCATTTCAAACTATTGGAAAAATTATACCATATTTTTCTGTAAATGGTTGTTTGAATGGAAAGATAAATGACAGCTTAGTGAACATATGTACTGTATTTGTTTGTTATAACAATAAATCCATATAAAATGGAATTAACATTATTAACATTCTGTCTTTCTGTTTAGACTCAGACCAAAACCATTGTTTGTTACAGATGAGGGATATTTCAAAATAGTCTGAAATGCAGAATGTCATTAAATCTTTTTCATTGCTCACACCATAACTTTTTTTGGCACAACTAACATGAACTGGTAGTCGAAAGGAAAATTAGGTACCTCAGCTTTAATTTAGCGAGTGCGCTTCGGGAGAAGACACGGAGGAGACTGAGGCTCCGCAGTCCAGCTTCAGCGCTGTAGATATTGTGTGCATTGGTTACGCAAAGACACGTACGCACACTAGAGAATAGTTCTGTGCGTGGTCTTGGATATGATCCCATTACGCAGCGCCGTTCGCCGTGATCACAGACGCTGGAAGTGGGACCTGCTGTCCAGAGCGCTGTGGCGCCCGCAGCTCTTCATGCAGAGTTCATACAGGAAACAACAAGTGCCCCGCGGTCACGCGTGTATTCTTTCAAAAATTGAATTCCCAGAGGGCTCTGCTCTGTCCCCATCTCACACACACGTGTCCGCGGCATTCTGAGTTTTATCATGGGATGCATGGGCATGCGTCAAATGCGTTAATTTTTTTAACGCGATTAATGAAAAAAAAAAATTAACGTGCGTTAACGCGATAATTTTGACAGCCCTATTAAAAACAAATATGATTCAAACATGATTCTGTTCAAAACTGAAAAAAGTACTTGGGAGAAAAAGTGTGATGCCCTCAACATAAATCAAGGAAGTGTGTGTGACAGAGCGAGAGACAGACTGACGGAGAGAGAGACGGAGAGGGAGACCGAGACGGAGAGAGACCGAGACGGAGAGAGAGACCAAGACGGAGAGAGAGACCGAGACGGAGAGAGAGACCGAGACGGAGAGAGAGACCGAGACGGAGAGAGAGACCGAGACGGAGAGAGAGACAGAGACGGAGAGAGAGACGGAGAGAGAGACAGAGACGGAGAGAGAGACAGAGACGGAGAGAGAGACAGAGACGGAGACGGAGAGAGGAGAGAGAGAGACGGACAGACACAGAGAGAGTCAGAGAGAGAGTCAGAGAGAGAGTCAGAGAGAGAGTCAGAGAGAGAGTCAGAGAGAGAGTCAGAGAGAGAGTCAGAGAGAGAGTCAGAGAGAGAGTCAGAGAGAGAGTCAGAGAGAGAGACCGAGAGGGAGACCGAGAGGGGAGACCGAGAGGGGAGACCGAGAGGGGAGACCGAGAGGGAGTCAGAGAGAGGGAGTCAGAGAGAGAGAGAGAGAGGCCGAGAGAGAGAGACAGAGAGAGAGGCCGAGAGAAAGACTATTTTTCATATAGTACTTCCATAGCTTTTGTGTTTCATGCAGTATGACAAAGCTTCTTATACTTACCACTCTAATAATGTGTGAGACATTGACACGTGGACGTCTCTTCCTCTGCAGTCAGCCTGTGCGCTGCGGTCAGGCCTCCGTGCTCCTCTGTGACCGTGTCTGTGGTTCAATGCTCGGCTGTGGAAAACACAGCTGCTCCCAGGTCTGCCACAGCGGGCCGTGCGAGCCCTGCCAGATACAAGTTGACCAAGGCACGTCCACCAATGTAGATTCAGATGTGTTGTTTCCAGAGACTGCGACACTAATGACATAATTCTCTCTCTTTAGTTTGTTACTGTGGCGTTGGCGCTCGCAAAGTCCTGTGCGGCACAGACAGAGAGGGCTTCGATGGCTCTGGGCATTTCTCCTGTGAAAAACTGTGCGGAAAGTAAGTGCATTTCTGATTGAGTTTATTTCCTATTTTCAGCTAAACCTCATTGGAAAACAGGTGCAAAAGTACCCCAGTGTGCACCAGACAAATATATGAAATAAAACTAGCTAAAAAGTACAAGAAGCAATTGTCACTGCAAGACCATAACAACCAAGAACAGTTTAAATATAATGTGGGAAGAAGCTGCTAGCATATCCAGATGTCCTGCCAGAGGGAAGAAGCTGGAACATGGCATTATTTTCCAGGGTATAAATGCTTTTGACACAGGTGTTTGATGTATGTATTTTCTGGTTGGTGATGTCATATGATGTGAATGAGAGGATGTGTTGTTTGTGTGAGGTGTGGTTGGTATGTGAAGGTGTGGCGCTGTAGGTGTATGTGTGTGTATGAAGACTACACTTAAGACTTTCTGTTTCTGTTTCTAGGATGTTGGATTGCAAGGCTCATCGCTGCCAGCAGGCGTGCCATCGGGGGCCGTGCCAGTCCTGCCCTCTGTCCCCCAGCCGGGTCAAGTCCTGTCCCTGCGATCAGACCCCACTGAGCAAGCTCTTAGACTTTGGATACTCTCAACGAAAGCGCTGCACTGATCCAATTCCCTCCTGTGGAAAAACATGCAACAAGCCTCTGCCGTGTGGCTCCAACGGTGAGACGCTGGTCGTGGATCACGTCATGTAGTTGGAGCATTTATGTTTTTATTTCAAACACCTGCAAAATGATATGATGGACCATAAAACGAGATAAAAAATAAAGACACAATTACACACGCACAACAAGACACACACGAATATACAGATACACACTGAGACACACTAACACACACACACACCAAGACACCCAAGAATATACAGAGACACACTGAGACACACACACACTAAGACACACAAATATACAGCTACACACTGAGACACACGCACACACTAACACACACGCACCAAGACACACAAGAATATACAGATACACACTGAGACACACACACACTAAGACACACACACACACCAAGACACTCACACACTGATACACGCACGCACACACTTCAAGACACACACGCTAATACGCACACCAAGACACACGCACACCAAGACACGCACACACATCAAGACACACGCACACTAATACACGCACACACACACACACGCACCAAAAAACATGCACACCAAGACACACAAGAATATACAGATACACACTGAGACACACACACACTGAGACACAGACACACTAAGACACACACACACACCAAGACACATGCACACCAAGACACTCACACACTGATACACGCACGCACACACTTCAAGACACATACGCTAATACACACACCAAGACACATGGTGTCTTGGTGTGTGTTTAATTCAAGTCGTTTAAGAGAGTAACTCCTCCTCGCACCGACACACATCGATTCTAAAGTAGTTCTGAGATGTGAAGAGAGTCACGTCTGCCTCACTGTCGCTGAATCCTCCCTTTCCTCAGACATGATCCATCTGTGTGAAAAACTGTGCCATGAAGGACCCTGTGGACCCTGCTCCTTGACGTCCTCTGTCCGATGTCGCTGCGGTGCCAAATTAAAGGTACACAACGAGAAGTACAATTGTGCAAAATAACATGGTTCTATCACTAATAATATCTACTTTACAATGTAGGAGGTTCCATGTGCGACAATCTTCACAGAAGGTAGGATTATATCGCTGACTCCAAACTCTTCACCAGTGTTTCATACTTTAGGAAGGTCCATCTATCTTGTCTTAGTAGAATAAGTTTTTTTGGTTCTCCTATGCCCAAAAAAGGTCAATTTTCCTATACCAAAATAATAACCAGATAAATTCTCCTATACCAAAATAATAACCAGATAAATTCTCCTATACCAAAATAATAACCAGGTAAATTCTCCTATGCCAAAATAATAACCAGGTAAATTCTTGATTTAGAGGAGAACCAAATAGCTTCTCAGTCTTTCATCTGGTGTTTTCTCTGAATTCCAGATCAGCTCATGTTCACCTGTGAGAAACGCTGCAACAAGAAGCGCTCGTGCGGTCGTCATAAATGTGGCGAGCTCTGTTGTGTGGTGGGTTGGAGCGTTCTCATCCCAGAATGCAAAAATATGATTGCGTTAACATATCGCACCAATCTCTTTCAGGAATTGGATTGTTTCTTAAGCACAAAACACCTAATTTATACATTACGTCTGCTTCAAAACAATATTTTATCGTTTTTATATTTATTTTTAATAAAATTATTTAGTTTTGTTGGATAACTGGTATGTTATTGTTTTTACTGACTTTACTGACCATAACCCATATTGTTTTACTTCTATTTTTAACATAAAACTGTCAATCTTGTATATTTAAATGTGTTTAATTTTATTTCTATGCAGCATTTTGGAATCTTGTTTTATCAAATGTGCTATATAATAAAGTGGATTACATTATTTAAACTTATAATGCAGGGGTATCAATGCGTAGATTTTTCTATTCTTTAAATTGTTCCCCGGCCATTTACAAAAAGTTAATTAAAATGGTTCTGGGTGTTTCTTCCAGGCCGTGGACCACAAGTGCCCCTTGATTTGTGGCTACAAGCTGAACTGTGGCCTCCATCGCTGCCAGGAGCCCTGTCACCGTGGAAACTGTGACCCCTGCTGGCAATCCAGTGAGAGCCATGACCCTGTTCTGTTTGAGTTCTTCACACACCGGTTCAGTGGAAAGACTTTAACCTGACATGTTTTTTGTTTAGGCTTTGACGAGCTCACTTGTCACTGCGGACTCACGATCCTGTATCCCCCGATTTCATGTGGCACCAAGCCTCCGGAATGTAAGAACACGTGCACCCGGAGACACGACTGCGAGCACCCAGGTGAGCCAGGACCACAGCCCCGAGGGTCACTGCTGTGTGTGCTGCGGCTGCTGTGTGTGTGTGTCTGCTGTATTTATGTCTCTGTGTGTGTGTGTGTGTGTGTGTGTGTCTGTGTGTGGGTGTCTGCTGCATTTATGTCTGTGTGTGTGTGTCTGCTGCATTTATGTCTGTGTGTGTGTGTCTGCTGTATTTGTGTGTGTGTGTGTGGGTGTCTGCTGTATTTGTGTGTGTGTGTGTCTGTGTCTGCTGTATTTATGTCTGTGTGTGTGTGTCTGCTGTATTTATGTCTCTGTGTGTGTGTCTGCTGTATTTGTGTCTGTGTGTGTGTGTGTCTGTGTGTGGGTGTCTGCTGTATTTATGTCTGTGTGTGTCTGTGTGTGTGTCTGCTGTATTTATATCTGTGTGTGTGTGTCTGCTGTATTTATGTGTGTGTGTGTGTGTGTCTGCTGTATTTATGTCTGTGTCTGTGTGTGTGTCTATGTGTGTCTGCTGTATTTATGTGTGTGTGTGTGCTGTATTTATGTCTGTATGTGTGTCTGTTGTGTTTGTTGTGTCTGTGTGTGTGTGCTGTATGTGTGTCTGTTGTGTATGTGTGTGTGTCTGTTGTGTCTGTGTGTGTGTGTGTGTGTGTCTGTTGTGTCTGTGTGTGTGTGTGTGTCTGTTGTGTCTGTGTGTGTCTGTCTGTTGTGTGTGTATGTCTGTTGTGTCTGTGTGTGTGTGTGTGTGTGTGTTTGTGTGTCTGTGTGTGTCTGCTCAGTGCTCACTAACCTGTCGTTTCATCATGTGTTAGTGTTCCATAACTGCCACAGTGAAGACAAGTGTCCTCCTTGTACTTACCTCACTCAGAAGTGGTGTATGGGTAATCATGAGGTAACTCCAGTCAATGCTTCTTTCTTCCACCTCATGTGAGTTTTTTATAAGATCCATGTTTGATCCACAGCAACGCAGCAACATCCCCTGCCACCTTCAGGACATCTCCTGTGGTCTGACATGTAACAAAGAGCTGCCCTGTGAGATGCACCACTGTCGTCGTATCTGTCACCGTGGAGAGTGTCAGGCTGAAGGCGTGTGCCAGCAGCCGTGTGCGCGCCCTCGCTCTGAGTGTGGCCACCCATGTGCTGCTCCCTGCCATCGAGGCAGCAGCTGCCCACGCAGCACCTGCAGCGCCAAGGTACAGCCAAACACATGTCTCTGCTGCTCAGACCTGTTCCATCTGTAGTCGTCCCGATCAGTTATTCATGATGTTAACAGCTCCTAAAGACAAGGGGGGAGCATCCGTCTGTGGGTTTTGTTGCATTTATAAGACAGAAGGTTTTGTTTAAATATTCCAGATGCTCACAGTGTGATTCTGAGAGAACCAGCTGTTGATTAAATCTCTTGACAGAATAAATGTAGTGAAAAACCAAATGTATCCAAGTGTTGTGTTAACGCTGCTGCCTGTGCCAGGTGTCGCTGCAGTGCGACTGTGGCCGAAGAAAGGAGACAGTCGTGTGTGCAGAGGCGGCCAGTTCATATCAGAGGTCAGTGAGAGTTTGAATGAAGACAATTGTATTTGTGACTTGATGGATTCAGTGCTTTCCGTTCCATGTAGATATGCAGCCATTGCTGTGGCCAGTAAGCTCTCCGACATGCAGCTGGGGGACTCTATGGACCTGGGACCACTGCTCACTAAAAAGGAGATGAAACAAACCAAGTATGTCTCTGCTAAAATCTATCCTTCCATTTATGAACATATTCAGGACATGTGCATGTTCTTTTAGGCTTGAATGTGATGAAGAATGTGCGACACTGGAGCGAAATAGGCGCCTGGCAGAAGCGCTACAGATCGACCCGTCCTCAGACCCCTTTAATGTGCGCTCCACGTCTGTGTACAGCGACAGTCTCAAAGATGACGCCAGGTCTGCAGCTGTACAGCTCATACCAACATGTTTGTACCCACACACTTATATTTCACTTGTTTCTTTTAGGAAAGATCTGAACTTTGTTTCCAAAGTCGAAGATGAAATTAAGAACTTGATTGAGATAACTAATAAGGTAAGTCAAACTCGGTAACAGCAGAGCTCCCCCTGCTGGCCGGCTATAATTACATTCAAAAGTGAATAGTAAATACTAAATTTACCACACTGTTTCAAAAACGAATGAATTGAGTCACATTTTCAACAGTCTACAGTCCACACTTGAGAGCCACTTGTTCATGGCGTTAGCTGACAAGTTACTATGTTCTGACCTAGTTGTTGTACGCTCAGCTATTTCTGAGAGAAGCCAACTCTGCAGTGAATCTCTATGATGAGGCCAGCTGTGCGAGCTCGTAGCTTCAAAATGGGAGGACAGAACCTCTTTTCAAAACCGTTCATGAGTGAGACTTGATTAGTAGTTTGTCTGTACTCCGCTAAAAATAGTCATATTTTTTATTTTCTGATGGACCGCAGCCTGAGTACTCTTTCAAGGCCATGTACTGATTTTTTTTAATTGACTTGTATATCTACAGTGGCCTGAATGACGCTTTCGGAATTTCTCACATTTCGGCATAAAATCACCATAAAATGAACTGATCTTTGTCAAAATCACACAAAACTTGAGGCGATCGGTTAGAAAGTTGAAGCTAAAAAGAGGATGCAACAGGACAATGATCCAAAACACCAAAGTAAATCAACTTCAGAATGATTTCAGAAGAACTAAATGCACTTTCTGGTGTCTCAGTCCTGACCTGAACCCCACTGAGATGCTGTGGCATAACCTAAAGACAGCAATTCATACCAGACACTAGAATCAGAAAAGTAAGTAACAAGATTTTGCCTTGGCTCAAGGTGCAAAGTTATACAATATACCACTATAATACACTAAAAGTACAAACACTAGACATTTAACAGTGCAGTTAAAGTGATAGGAATCGGGCTGAACTGTTTTGTAAAGAGGAATGGTCAAAAATTGATCCTGTCGATGTGCCGGACTGATCTGCGACTACAAGAAGCGTCTAGGACCAACTTTTACATGCAGTGGTTCAGTTACTAATTCTTCTTCTATCAAAGTCTGGGTGTTTTTAGTTAAAGCAGGCACTGTTTTTTCATCCTTTTGACGAAGAGAAAGTTAAGATTGCATTTGATGGCGATTTAATGCGGACACGTGAGAAATTCCAAACAATTCAAATACTCTTTCAGGCCACTGTATAATAATATATACACACACACACACAATCATGCTTGTCTAGTTTGATGTTTAAAATAAACTAGTAAATGACTGGTTTATATCCAGGGAAAACAGGCCAAAAGATCCTACACCTTTCAGCCAATGAACAGAGACCACCGCCGCGTCATCCACGAACTGGCAGAAGTCTACAAACTGGAGAGCATCAGCTACGACTGCGAGCCCAAACGCAGCGTCAGTGTCACCGCTCAAAAGTAGGACCCGCCGCCTCCTCACTCCCGAGTTATCGCGACCGTCACGCCACTATAAATAACCTTCTGAAATGGCGCGTTTCCTTTAGGGGGGTGTCTGCGTGTCCAAATGCATCCCTGTCATCCCTCATCAAACGGGAGACCGCAGCCAGAGCTCCTCCCCCCATCGCTCACATCAAGCAACACAGCAGCAAGTAGGTTTTTGGAATGAGCCAAAAGCAAATTATCTGTGTAACCATAAAATTTAAAAAAAAAAAACTGGATTTTTCTCATGTTCTAGACCGGTCGCGGGTGTCGCCTTTTCCAAGATGGTGAGAGAAGAACCTGCCATTGACTATTTTGATGTCCAAGACTGAAAGAAAACCTCGTTATGTAGTAAGAGAGCAGCCGTCACTGTATTTTAACGACAGGATTTGGAGATTAACTCGAAAGCCTTTGTTATTTCCACAGGTTGGGTTTGAGTTTTGATTTGAACTCATCCACGTAGATCAACGGACGAGGCTTCGATCGCCGCAATAAACGTTTAAACGACTGCTCCCAGGACTTTGAATGTGTATCTGAACTGACATAACTGACAACAACAACAAAGAAGCTAATTTGCCTGAAATGTGAAGGCAATTTTGAAAAAAGAAAAATAAAGTTTGTCCTCCAAAAATGTATCGTGCAGATGTTTCAGATCAAGAGGTTTTTTATTCGGAATGTCATCGTTTCATCACAAGTTACAGAAGAGTAGGAATGAGGAGCACACAAGACCAGATAAGATAAGTTACTTTTAAAAAAGCTTGTGGAGCTGTGGTGACATGTGACTGACTCCATGTAAGTTATGATTGTGGAGTTTTATGTGTCATGTTTAAGAAGGCACAAAAACTTAAAGGTATAGAAGAGAATTGTTGTCTTCCGGGTGGATCATCAAGACTATTGGTCCTTCTAATTGTCAGTCATTCTGACGATATGTGACGTAAAGCCATCAAAAAGGCGAGAGTGCGGTTCTTTCTTAAAATTCAACAATAAAGACCTTTTTTTCTTCTTTTTTCAGTGTAAAAAATAAGTAAATGTAAAAATATAAACTGTTTTGTGCGTAGAGTATTTCATTGGGGGTTTATCAATGAATTGCATCTTATAATTTTGGTGTAGTAGGGGATCCGTTCCAGTTCCATAGCAGTGTAGTCTCCAGCCTCCAGCTCAAATACCAAAAATAACTAGCACCCTATGAAAAAAAAATAAAAAACTACCGCAACTCTCGCTTTTTGCAGGATTACTCACAAACTCAGAACCCAGGCTTTTCTTCCTCCCCTCGCAGACCTCTCTCCCCCCAAAAACCCCAGCTCGCTCACGGCTATAATTTTACGACACGCCCTCTTTCTTTCTTTTTTTTTTTTGCCACTGTAATTCTCCACGCAGCCAGACCGCGCCTGCGCCAATGCTTCCCTTTCCCCAACAAGCTTGTTTCACCAATAGCTGCTGCTGCTCCATCCCCTGGCCCGGTCCCACAGGCCAAACACCCCCAAACACCCCGTGCACCCGCGTCTGCAGATGGGGGAGTGAGACGCGCGTAGCACCGCTGTCTGGAGAAGGAAGTTGTGGAGGAAAGATTATTTTTTTTCTTTTCTAGGCTGAATCGTGCAGCGCTGTGACCATCCAGGACTGCTCCACATCGCGGCTGTCTGAGTATACCCACAGAAAAGGCGCATAGTGATGGAGAGAAAGGTAAGGCAGTTTTTTTTTTAATAGGGGGGGCTATGACCATCCTTTCCCCGGGTTTAAGCTGTATTCCCAGGGCTTTTCACTGCGCTCCTGCTTGGCGCATCCACCATTGGACTCTTTATTCTTTGGGATTAGTGCGCACTGGAGTTGTTTCTTGTCTGGTCGCTTTCCCTGTGTACATACGGGTGATTTATTGTCCTGCTGTTATTTGCTGAGCCCACAAACGCACTTCGCCAGACTGCTATATAATCCACAATTTTTGCTTGTTTGGTCTGAAGCGACATCATCTCTGTCTCAAGCATAGACTCAACGCATCGCGCTGACTACAGTCTAGTTCCTCGGGTATAGCTTTCTCCCCCCCTCTTTTTTTTTTTTTTTTTTGGCTTCCATCCACTCCAACCACGCCACCCACCCACCTCTCCAGCAATGCTATTTCTTTATGTATTTTTCTTCCGCCCAGCCGACGCATGCATGCAGCAGCGAGGCTTGTTAACCTTGGATGGTGTGGGAACAGACACTTGAGGAGTAATGGAGAGGATGCTGGAAGGCCGTGAAGTGCACCAACTCTCCAGTCTCTCTTCTTCCCCCCTCTCTCTCTCTCTCTGCTTTGCATTCAACAGTCTTTGTGGATGATTTCTCTCTGTGTGTTTACTGCATCGCAAAGCAAAAGTAACGTTTTGACTGGAGTGAGGCTTCAACCCATCCTTCCAGATTCAACATCATGCATAGCCTATAGATACGTTTCTCTTCCAATTTTGCATCTATTCAGGTCAGGCTTGCATTAGGCCAGCAGCAGTAACTGTATATGAGCCAAACAAGACCGACATTTCAAGGTAAAAGTTAAAAGTTCCAGTAAAAATATCTGCAAAGCTTTTTATTAGCGTCTTTAATTGTGTGCAGATGGCATCCCAGGGACTACTTTGTACCTTTTTTTGAGTTGGCAGCACTGCACTCAGAGGAGAAGAAGAGCTTTGTGGTCCATGATGTCTTATTAGTATTATTATTATTGCAAAAAAAATGTTATTACTCCTGCCAAAAATCTTGACGTGGTTAAGCCTGGGTCTGAATGTAAATACTCTTCATAGCTGCGAGTCAAAATGGGTTCGGAGGTGGTTTTCCGTACGTTGATGCAAATTGGAGTTGTCGTTCCATTAGGTTTTTTTTATTTATTTTTTTTCCAGAGGCTGTTTCCACTCTCAAAACCCAAATAGTCCCGTTCCACCACTGCTCTGCACAGATCGTCCACACGTTCTCTCCCATTATGTCTGGACCCCAAACCATCACATACAGCCGGGTTTTAGAGCAGGGTCTTGGAGTTTTTCCTTGCCGATGCAGGAAGGTCTGTCAGAGGGTCTACCTTAAAGGACTGTGGTGATCCAAGGACACTAAACTCAACATTTAACGACATTTTATCATCATTTATGGAGATTGGTCACCTCCCCTTTAAGGACCAATGGCTCTATGTGTTTCTATCATGACATTTTGACTCTGAACAGTTTGATTCTCTGATTAGTGTTGGCGAATTCAAGTCCCGCATGATAACTAAACTAAAATACGTTGAATTGAACACAGGCCAAGATTATAGCTGCATTTTTTATAATTTTTTTAGAAACTGTTTTTTCTCCCCAAATTCCACGTAAGTTACGGTCTGACCTAGAATCCGAGACACACGTCGTGGTATAGCTTCCTTTTACAGCGCGCTTAAGTCTCGATCAGACAGCGTTGCTATTTAAGGCAAGCCCATGTGCGACCCCCAGACATCATAGAGCATCATGGGACGTAACAAGGTCAGTCGTTATATGCACTGACTGTACAGGTCGTCATAAAACTTTTCAAGTCTATTTTTTTCCCGTTTCCCCAACTCTCTCGCTGCTCGCCCAATTAAAACTTCCCAGGCTTTTGTGTTTGGTGTTATAAGCGAGGATAAATGGACAATGGAGAACTTCCTTTTTCAGACGTTGAGGAATGTGCTGGCGCTGTAGCGGTTTGTTGTGTATCCCAAATGAGCCGACGGGAGCAGAGAAACGACGCTTTCTGCTGATGATCACAGAGATGGAGTTTGGGGGGAGAGATGCTGCACAAGAAGTTTTGGTATTGGTTGCGGTTCTTTTGAGGGTGAGGCTGCGGCGTGAATTATTCATGCAGATCAATCCAGTATCATCAGATGACTCATGGTGGATGATGAAAAACGCTGACGCTGCATTTATTATATACGTTTTGTCTGGACGTCTGACAGAGATCTCATGAGGCATCACTAAGACACTGCAAATGAATCCCAATGTTCTGATGTTGAAACCAGAGAAGACGACGTGATGCTGTTTGTCCCGTAGTGTTGACAGGAGGCTATACTTTACAAACTCATACAAGAAAAAATATTCTTTACCAATTTCTTCAACAGAGAATGTATCTATTACTGCCATTTCAACTGAACATAATGCTACTTTGCATGGAGGCACTAGGTTTTAAGCTGAGGCAGTTTAAAATATATCAAAAAAATGCCCAAGAAATCTTTTTTTTCCTAGTTTTGTATTTATTTTTGTATCTTGCTCCAAATAATATCTACTTTTGTATTCAAGTTTTGATGTTTTTTGGCGCTGCACTTTTGCTTTACAGCAGGAGGTTCTTGGGTTAGATTCCACCTCCAGAATAGGGCCTTTTATGTGGAGTTTGCATGTTCTCCCTGTGCTTGTGTAGGTTTTTTCCAGGTGCTCCGGTTTAAACTCTTAACAATATTCTGTCAGTGGATGAATCGACGACAGAGGTTCACCAGATAGTAGCCCTGACATGATGCACTAAAGGTGATTCCCAAACTGTTTATGACAAAAAGTCTTTATGTAAAATGTCAGAAAAAAATTGAATCTTAATGAAGAAATTCTGTCTTTTTATTAAGAGCAAAAGGTACTTCAATGACCCGAACCTTCTCATTGTTGATGATCACTTCAATTTTCAATGTATTTGTATATAGCCCTAAATCACAACCGCAGTCGTCTCTGAGGACTTTACAATGCTGTCGATTCACCAACAACAGATCAGAAAATCAAACTCGAACACAGGAAATTCAATAATAACAAACACATAGGAGCCATTAGTTCATAGGGAGACGACGACCACTGCCCATTTATGTCCCGGTTCTTCATGCTCCAAATAACTTCTTGCAACTTCTGATTGTTTATTTAAGCTGTCGACACCGATGGCTCTGGACGTTTCATTCACAGCCTGTATTCTAAAAGATAAATCATAATCGCCTGTAAACACTGCTCCTTCTCACTCTGGCGCTGCATCGTGGCTTCGTGTCATTTCCGGATTATAGATTTTTCCACTTTTCAGATGGAGCTCTTTGTAACCTAATTACAGGCCGAGCTCCTACTTTGCCTTTAGCGGAAAGATTATATTGTTTTTTTAATCACTGCTATAGCAAACCCAGAGCTCTCCATATTACTCCCATTTATAACTATCGAATAAGATTTGGGGAGAAGTGTGCGTCCCAGACAGTATACTTATATATACAGTATACTTATATATATACAGTATGACCCAGTTAGGTTTTTGAGGCTCAGTACAGGCTTCTGTATACAGCTCCATACGCAGCGGCTAAACTAAATACTCCCTGCAAGAGTACACCCACTTTATCTTTCGCTCGCTAATAAATGTTCTGACCTTTTCCACTGCACGTCATTAATTATTCACAACAGGTGCACAGCGAGGAGCGCAACAATGGCGGCATCTATCAGACTTTGTAAAGACCATTTTTGAGTCC